CATCAAATGTAAGAAGAGGATCTAAGCTTTCCAAATATGTGTCATTTATTCATTATAATTGTGATTAAGTAATGATGAAACATCGATAGTTCTCGGTTTCGTATTTTCTGGGACGCACTGTACATCTATACGCGGGAGATAAGGCCAAGGCTGAGCCTCGACTCGAGGTCAAGCCGAAGGTTGTAGGAGTCGGAATTGGTTACATTTCCGCTGTTTCCTTAGAACTTTGATGTTCTAAAAAGATGTTTCCAATTTCATAAAGGCAGATAATATATCATATGAAAATTAGAGAGCTGATGGAAAAAAAATAAAGTAAGATCTTGCGTACTATTTTACCCGGTGTGCACTAAGTGGAAATATTAGGGAGTTTTTACAAGCTCAACGCAGACGGACAATATGTGGTTCGTGTGCAAAATCGAGAAGCTATTATAGTATTAAAACAGCGGAGTGACCTGAACGGTTTTTGGCCAAATCTACGGGCGTTCTCAATGACGCCCCAAGTGAATTAAAACCCGATCAGCGAGCTTGTACCAAAGATGGAAAGGTAATTCCATCTTTTTGTTACTAAGGATGAATATGGATAAAACATGGATTTTGGATCATATAAATTGTTGAAATATGATAAAAGGCTGTTTTGTGGCTTGGTCGAGAAAAGTTGTGCTAGTCGTGTAGACCCGTCTGTACTGTATTGCGTGGCAGGGAAAAGGCCACTTTTGTGATATAATCAAATTTGATTTGTACATAAGTCTTTGTGACGTTCCTCAATACAAATTATTTCATTCACCTGATAAGAATAATAGTAGTCCAATAGTCAAAATGCAAACTGCATATATTAATTGTGGCAACAACTATGTATGCAGTTTAAATTTTGGCTATTGAAATAGTATTACTTAATTGCAGTCGTGATTTTAGCCATTCCCGTAAATAAACGAAAAATGCCAAACCTATGTAATAGTTCTAGAGTAACTTTCAACTTCTTGATGATGATCAATCAGAAGACTTGATTAATTCCACTGACAGCAGGAACACCAACAGGGTACGTGAAATTCTCCATAAACATATTCGAAGATTAGGTCTAGATCTAGGCTACCTGCAAGTTATCAACACAGACCTCGATAGCGTAAACAAACTTTCAAATTCGGAGCTAGACAACGTAGATCTAGGCCTAGGCCTACTCCAAAATGTTAACGCTGGTGCTATAGACGGAAGAACGGTTTTGTATACATGAAGAAGTCAATGAAGTCGTGAAATTCTCCATAAACATATTCGAAGATTAGGTCTAGATAGATCTAGGCTACCTGCCAGTTATCGACACAGCCCTCGATAGCGTAAACAAACTTCCAAATTCGGAGCTGGACAACGTAGATCTAGGCTTAGGCCTACTCCAAAAGTTTTACGCTGGTGCTGTCGTCTAGAAGGAAGAACGGTTCTTTATACATGAAGAAGTCAATTTTTACTAGTCTATTAGATTCGGACTTCACAGTCATTTCCTCAATTCTAAGTCTAACAATGTCGACATCATAAATTAAGCATGAAGATTTTTCCAATTCGACGAGAGTTTACAAAACAGCTATCTCGGCAGAAGACATGGTCAAAATCCAAGGTTCGCTTGATTTGGATGATCCTTTAGGTCTTCAGGACAAGGTATTTATTGATGTTATGACACTCAACAGCTTTGAAATTTGTGAGGAATTAGGGGGAAATGCTACAGAGGTCTAGATCTAGACTAGTCTAACTCTCAAAGATACACTCACAAAAAAACAATCGTGCAGATAAACTAGAGAAAAGCCAAGGTGGTGTCATATTAAAGTTGACTCTTTTTTCAGTATATAAAAGTAATAATGACTGCTTTAATATTCGAGACAAAGTTGTTTGTATACGCTCTCGATTGTAACCTCCCTTTGAGCGTTTAAAAACAGCTATGGGTACGTTTATGCTCAACTTTTTCTGGCCAGAATGAGGCATTTGTTACGCGTTTAGTTCAAAAGACGGTCCTTTCTCATTTTTGTAGAATCACAGAAAAACGGCGATCGTAATCGCCGATCGTAAACTCACAGAAAGGTGCGTTTTGGATCGGCAATTCTGCAAAATCGGCGATTCTGGGGAAGCATAAACGCTCAATCATTTGTAAACGCGTTTAAATGGGGTCAACGTAGCATGCGCAGTGCAGACTCTGCACTGCACTTCTCTGGCTCCTCCAGGCATGAGTCTGCTTCTGAGCCAGAATCATGCCTGGAGGAGCCAGAGAAGTGAGCATAAACAGTACACCGTGGAACTGCGATTACGATGGCGTTTACAATGAGAGTTTCAAATCGCTCATTCTGCCTTCAATCTCTCAAAGCAGTCATTATTACTCTAATATTGAAGCCCTAAACAAATTGCGCTCCAAAATGATCAAGAAGTGCCTCAAAAAGTGAGAAACCTTTGAGTGACCGATTTTACTATACTCGTTTTAGCCAATAAACTGGAGTGTTATGAAAACCGTTTGGCAAACGCAATTTTTTATTTCGATTTGCAATCATAAATATCTTGATAATCAGACAGGCGATCGGCTTGTAAAAGTCATGGGGTTCCTGACTGACCTAAAGGTTCATAATTATCACTGCAGCATGACCTAAATCAAGGATTTGTCAAAGGATCTAAGACAAAGTTACTGGATCACTTTAAGCACAAATTCCTGACCTATTTTCCAAGCCCTACAACATCCCGACCTATTCTCCTAGCTCTACAACATCCTGACCTATTCTCCAAACCCTACATAATCCCGACCTATTCTCCAAGCCGTACAACACCCCGACCTCTTCTCCAAGCCGTACAACACCCCGACCTCTTCTCCATGTCCTACAACATCCCGACCTATTCTCCAAGCCCAACAACATCCCGACCTATTCTCCAAGCCCTACAACATCCTGACCTATTCTCCAAGCCCTACAACATCCCGACCTTTTCTCATAGCTCTACAACATCCAAACCTATTCTCCAAGCCCTACAAAACCTGGCCTTTTTTCCAAGCCTTACAACATCCTAACCTATTCTTTAAGCCCAACAACAACCTGACCTATTATGCAAGCTCACATCATATTGACCTATTCAACAAGCCTTACAACATCCTGACCTATTATACAAGCCCTACAACATCCCGACCTATTCTTTAAGTCCAACAACATCCTGACCTATTATACAAGCTCATAACATATTGACCTATTCAACAAGCCTTACAACATCCTGACCTATTATACAAGTCCTATAACATCCCGACCTATTTGTTAAGCCCAACAATATCCTGACCTATAATACAAGCCCTACAATATCTCGACCTATTATCCAAGCCCCACAACATTCTGACATATTCTCCAAGCCTTACAACATCCCAACCTATTCTCCAAGCCCTACAACATCCCGGCCTATTCTCCAAGCCCTACAATATCCCGACCTATTCTCTAAGCCCTACAACATCTCGACCTATTATCCAAGCCCCACAACATTCTGACATATTCTCCGAGCCTTACAACATCCCGACCTATTCTTCAAGCCCTACAACATCCCGACCTATTCTCCAAGCCCTACAACACCCCGACCTATTCTCCAAGCCCTACAACATCCCGACCTATTCTATAAGCCGTACGACATTCTGACCTATTCTCCGAGCCCTACAACATCCCGACCTATTCTCCAAGCCCTACAACATTCTGACCTATTCTCCAAGCCGTACAACATCCCGACCTATTCTCCAAGCCCTACAACATCCTCCCCTATTCTCAAAGCCCTACAACATCCTCCCCTATTCTCCAAGCCCTACAACATCTTGACCTATTCTGCAAGCCATACAACACCCTGACCTATTCTGCAAGCCCTACAACATCCTGACTTATTCTCCAAGCCCTTCAACATCCTCCCCTATTCTCCAAGCCATTACAACATTCTAAACTATTCTCCAAGCTCTACAACATCCCGACCTATTCTGCAAGCCATTACAACATTCTAAACTATTCTCCAAGCTCTACAACATCCCGTCTTATTCTCCAAGCCCTACAACGTCCCGACCTATTCTCCAAACCCTACAACATCCCGACCTATTCTCCAAGCTCTACAACATCCCGACCTATTCTGCAAGCCCTACAACATCCCGACCTCTTCTGCAAGCCCTACAGCATCCCGACCTATTCTCCGAACCCAACAACATCCCGACCTATTCTGCAAGCCCTACAACATCCTGACCTATTCTCCAAGCCGTACAACGCTCTGACCTATTCTGTAAGCCCTACAACATCCTGACCTATTCTACATGCCCTACAACATCCTGACCTCTTCTACCATCCGTACAACGCTCTGACCTATTATGTAAGCCCTACAACATCCTGACATATTATACAAACCCTACAATATCCCAAGATATTCTGCAAATCCTGAATTTCGTGACCTTTTTAGCAAGTCCTACGACATTTTGTGTTGGGTGACAGAAATATCTGGAGACGGCTGATGAAAAAATTACTTTTAATTGTGACCTATCAAATGTGTTGAGGTTGAGGTATTCGCCTCCTCAAGCATGATAAAGGCCAATCTCTCTTGCTGCTTTGGATTTCTACTTAGCCTTCATATTAAGAATACTTTATCCTTCCTGAACCTAGCTTTGAATACTAACATGGAAATATATTTCCTAGAAAATTGTAGGGTTAAGAAACCTTCTCCATGAAGAATATCCATGTCCGGGAGAGCAAATGAAGTTTCCGTTATAGTACGGTATGTAACATGTCGGAATATCGTAATAATTGTGTCAACCATGAGTCACCGATTTGATCCCTGTCGTGTACCGTTCGTACCCAGCTTGAACCCAACTGGCTTCCTGTCATTGTTTCATTCCTATGTAGGATTGGCTTTACTCAAACCAGGAACTAACTTGTTCGTTGTCTCACACTGAGCCTTCTATCAACAACGACGTGATTTGTTTCCTCATGTTCTTTCAAATCGATGTGTTCAGCTTCGTTCGAACCCTTTAGGAATGACACTTGCTTCGATTATTAGAATTTCAAAGAGATTTGGTAAGATTGTCTTTTAAAGTTATCATAGCCCATGAATAAATATTGCCAACTGTTAAACATTTTATTAAATTGACAATCTTCTAGTGTAATAATTTATTCATGATGGAACGTCTACTCTACTATTATGACTATAGTTGAGTCTGAGTTATAAGAGGAGGCGCGATAGCTCAGTCGGTATAGCAGTGGTGTCATAAACCGGTGACCCTGGTTCAAAACCAAGTCGATGCGCTAGTGCCCTTAGGTAAGGCACTAATTCTCATTACCAGGTCCCTCGGAGAGGATCTAAAGCCGTCGGCCATCTGGTTGCTTACTAACAAGCATTTATGCTTTCTTAGCAGTCAGGTAAAATAACCACACCCACCCACCCATATAGTATTCTGAATGAATTCCTGCCGTGTTATCATGAATATAGATTGGTCTCAATTTTACTAACATGTCTCCCTTTTATTCCAGATCCGAAATATTAACAGCAAAGAGGAATCTTCTAGGTGGACAACATGCATTCGAGTCCAACGAAAGATTTTACGTGGTTTATGTAAGTTACTGTCGGATTATGGTGTTCGATATACACAGTCATGATAACGGTGTATAAATCTTTAAATCAACCATCAACTGATTATTACATTAAACAAAAGTATTGCATGATTGTTCTATGACTATAGCAGCTAATTGTACTTAAATAAATTCATTCTGAGTATGCTTAGCACATTACATAAACATGACATGAAAAACGAAGAGAGGGACTTCCTCTTTGGCATCTTTAGTCAGTTGTCAATTTGCCAAAAAGGCTGATTGGGAAGTTTTCGGAAGGAGGATGTCTCTACTTTAATAGACTATGAACTTTGTTTCCAAATTTGAAAATGGGTTTAAAGCTACTTGTCAGGCATTTTATGGTGATGTCGGTCTTTTGATGATCTGTTTAAGAACATTTTTTTCACAAATATTAAAAAATGCACATTTAGAAATTATATTAGGGATTCTTTTAATGTATAAATAATGCAAAAAATTCATGTTTATAGCTATTGTAGGCCTTGAAACATATTTTATCTCAAACGCTCTCTAAGGTGAATATGTGAAACTGGTATCTGTTTTATTGAGAGTTTGGATAGTTTTCGACCTTGATCGACATGTTTTTTAGTGGCAAATTGTGGATATCAATCGCAAAGTTTATTGTATACTTTGTTTAGTAAATGTATTAATGAACAGAGTGGTATGATAAGAAACATCACGAATATGTTAAAATATAAAGAGAAGGGAAATGCAACTATATCAACACAAGGCCTTCTGTCAGTTCTGTGTTGTTGTTTTGTATGTTTTCAAAATAGTACATCAACATATACATAATTTAACAATTATTTCTTCATTATACAAAATTATAAAACACAAATATTTTTTAATGAAAAAAGATAAATTACAAAAACGCAGGAGACCGCCATCTTGAGCGGTAAACTCCTCTCTCTCTCTCTCTCTCTCTCTCTCTCTGTCTGTCTCTCTCTTTCTGGTTCAATGCACCCTCCCCCTCCTCGTAGCCCGTACTTAGTCATTCCTTTCTTTCTCGCTCTCCATCGTGACGCAAAATGCTTTATAATTATAATCATAGATATAAATTGTTCTTCACTATCAATATTGACTCGACTGGTCATACTTTGGAGGTGTCGTGTTAAAGTGGTTCATTAATTCACTCTACTCTTATACGATTGATGGTTCGATTGTCAGCCATTAACATGCTTTGGCAAGACGACGATCCATATTTACCACCCTCTACCCATGTGTAAATGGGTAACTGACAATTGAAGGGGCAATAGTAACTGGGGGCCCGCAGGAAGAGCAGTATTAATACAGTTGTCCTACCCTGGGTATATAAGGCCCAATTATTATGTTGTATCACTATTATTCATTTTCAATTTCAGGGCCAACTAGTACATTGTGTGAGGAGTACGGATCAGAAGAAATGAGATCATATTCAGTCCTCTTCAGACTGCCTCCTGACTTGTTCTTGATCTGCAGCAGATAGCATGTTGTGGTCAACGGCAGGAAGGAGAATATACCCGACTGTAAACACTCATCTCATTACACTCAGTTACTTTGGTTAATTATAGCCCTAACTATTAGAACAAAATACTTTGTCATAATGTTATATACTGTTGCTTAGTGACTACTGAAAATCTTCAAAACGATTATTTAAGCCGGGTTTATTTTATCATTAACATGACTAAAGGTGGTTTATCACAACTAAATATGTTTATTCAACCTTAATATAACCGTTGTCTACTGGAAGTGATGATATCTGTCTTAAACCTATGGAAGATATGAATATTCTCTAGTCATCGAGTTAAAATTGACCATTGATATACTATTGATGTTTGCATTATGTATCATATCAGTGCACATTGAGATAGGAGAATCACAATGTCGGAATTTAAACGCAAAGTTTCACGCAATTTGCAGTGCCCTGTTTGTTTCGAGCTGCTTTGTGACCCGAAGCAGTTATCATGTACACATACCTTCTGTAAGAAATGCCTTAATGATATTCTTAAAAGCTCTTCAAAAGATTATCTTACATGTCCCATCTGTCGAAGCATAACATCTGTAGAGGGTGGCAATGTCTTAAATCTAAATACTAATGTTCCTCTTAAATCTCTCATTGATGATGTGAGAAATAGCCAGCAAGTCTGTGAAATGTGTGACTCTAACTCGAGAGCTGTATATTTATGTTGTGAGTGTGGTAAGAACATGTGTAACACATGCCTGGGCATTCACAACAAATGGGCCCTTAGTGGCAAGCATAGAGTTGTGAGAGTAGAAGACATCAGAGAGGGAAGGGTGGTTATCGAAAAAGAAGTTTACTGCCAAGAACACAAAGCAGATGAACAAAAATACATATGTACTGATGTGTGTATCACTTGTAAGAAGTTCATCTGCTTGAGATGTCGAATGTTGTATCATGACAAGAAAGGCCACACTGTTCAAGATGCTAAGGAATACAATGCTTCTACCAAGACACAAATTGAATCTCTCAAAGCCCGAAGTAAGACGAAGGTTAAAACCATCAAGAATCACATGACCTGCATCAAGAATCAGAAGAAGCGTGTCACAGATCACATTGCCTGCAAAAAGGCTGAATCACTCAAGAAATTAAACGAGATTAAAGCAGCATTAGACAAGCAGTTGGACGCTCAGGAAGAGAAATTATGTAAAAGATTGGATGAGATGCAAGATGTTGATGAGAGTTTGATTACGAGTATTAAGAGTGCGAGTGTGTTAGCGGGTAATAGCATGAAGGCTCCATTAGAAGGTGATATCATTGTTATGCGTGATACATTCTCTGGTGAGCTGAAGAATGTACTAGATAGGGATGATCCGAAGGAGAAGCTTGCTACTGATGTAGCTGACCGGGCAGAGCAACTGATAATCACACCTAAATGTGATCGGTTGAACTTTGGTCAGCTGCAGAAGACAACTGTTGGAATCGGTATAGTAGGATTCCTAGTCTGTCTCGTTGCTGTAACATGTATTTTGTTCACAATTAACTGTCAATGTGATCAGTTAAACATTGGTGAGGTAAGGGTAGTGAAATGTGTGTCGGTTCGTGATTTAGAACTCTCAGAGAAAGGCCTCGTGAATAACATAGTTGGTACACCCGATGGTAGTATGGCAGTGGTATACGTTACAAGAGGAATTGATATATTCTCTGCTGATGGTCAGCTGCAGAGGACAGTGCTCAAGGATGTCATTATGTATTGTGTAGGATTGCTGTCTGATGGTCGGTTTGTCGTACTGAAAGGCAACAATGTCATCACAATGTACACACATGCGTATGAGCAGTTGGATGTAACGTTTGATACTCTGAATATTGATGAAGGTGGAATTGGTAGTCTCACTGTAGACAGTAATGATCTGATCTATGTCGGATACTGGAAAGCCAAGAAGATACAGGTGTTCGCACCAGATGGTGGAAAGGCGATCAGGGAGATACCATGCGATGGGTATACACCTCAGCATATCACTAGTTCTAATGATGTATTGATCATCAAAACTGGTTATACAGTAATAATAATTGACAAAGATGGCAATGTGAAACACAAGGTAGAGAAATCGGGACTATCGGCACACGCTGCTGTAACTCAGAATAATTCAATCCTAATCGCCTGGGTCAATCATGATGATGGGTTGGTTAGTATAGATGAGTACACCAGCGAGCTGAAACACGTCCAGACTCTCATCTCTGATCACAAGATTGAGAAGTCTGAGAGAAGCTGGTACGTTCTCCGCGAGTTCCGATCAGGGGAGATTGCTTTCTGTACTCCTGATAGACTCTATATATTCAAACTAACCATCACACCATGCAGTCCATGAATGATAACAGTCCCGTTTCAGGCGACTTCACAATTATGCAATGATTTAAAAATGTATCCTTACGTGATGTATTATGACTCTCAATTACCTTAGGTGATTTGTAGACAGATTCTCCTGAAATTCAAAATGCGTATACTATAAAATGACTTTTGATTTAACTAATTTTAAAGGTATGGATTCAATTCATTTTTTTTTGTGTCCAGTTTTCTGTTTTCAATTATTGTTGTTTAACGCAACAGAACGACATGGTGATCCCTTCCGATTCACAGATTAGAAGCAAAAACTGTTCATTCTATTACCGAAGAATATGTTTGTGTATGGAAAAAGCCTCTGTCATCTAAAATGAAGCAAAGAAACGGAGATGCCAGTCATCTGGATTTTAATCATAATGTCAAAAAGTATCTTATTGTATTTATTAATAGTGTTACGTGAGTGACTTCTTTTTAGTTATTTAAATTGCTACCTCATCAGAAACCACAGCAGAAAACAATTGTATAAAGGTATAATGAAGTTTTAATCTTCAGCCTACAAATCGTTGCGTCAAAAATCAACAGAACATAATCAATTTACTAGAACATAACTTTAGTGCACGGCAGCTTCCATCTCGCGAGTCCCCCACAGCTCCCGGTCGCTTGGCCAGTCTCTAGACTGCGTAGAAATCCCGTCGACTTGGCAGCTCATCTCTAGGGACTTTTAGATTGAGTGAACGAGAACACGACGAACGCCGACTGATCATGCGTGTCAACGTACTCAACTGCCCATGTTGACTACAATTAGAAATCTTTTAGATTGAACTCGACGATATACATGCATGCAGGAAGTAACACTATGAACATGACAGACAAAGAAAGAGAACAAAATATAAAGTTCCTCATCCTACCCTCAACAATAGGCCATTTTCGTAATGTAACCAAATTTAATGCAACTGCATATATTAAGTGTTGCAAGGTAGGTATAATGTTTGTCCAACCTGGCAACAACTAATGTATGCAGTTAGGATTCTGTCTATTGAAATACTATTATTCTTATCAGGTGAATGAAATAGTTTGTATTGAGGCACTTCACATAGACCTATGCATTAAATTTGGTTACATTACGAAAATGGCCTATTGCTGTGGTAGAACATCCCTTCACTGCTTTTATTTAAAAATGTGTAGAACAGGTGAATATGCATGTGACACCTGTTCTACACATTTGTACATAATAACAGGGCAGGGATGTTCCTTTGTCTACCTGAGGAACTGTATATTTTATGCGCACGCGGCATATACTAGTACCGTACTAGATTTAGGAAAATCAAGGTTGACACCCTCTCGATCGCCGACTGAGACGACGTGACGCATGCGCAATGTCTTTAAATGACGTCACACGTTGCAGTCGAAGCTGTCAACGTGCAAATCTAAAAGTCCCTTCTATCTCTGTCGATGACTCCCCTGGTCGCTTAGCCAGTCTCCAGACTGCGTAGAAATCCCCGTCGACTTGACAGCTTATCTCGTCCCGAGTTGACGGTCTCTCTGAAGAAAAATGTTTCTGCTGCCTTACTAAAAAAGTTTACCTCGTGCATTAAACGTCTGCACCGTAGCCCTGACTTGAAGGGTTTTGCCCTTTATTCTAAAGCAACTTCCCTTTACCCTATCTTTGCCAGGTCCTTAACATTAAAAAACCTCCTAGGTATGAGAGCTATTTATATTTATATTAACATTCAATAGCCAACCCAAAAGCATGCATAAAAAAATATATATAATGCAAATGTATGCAATAATGCATCCTACGCTTGGCTACCTCTAACTGACCTTTGAGTAGTACATTTCCCTTCTCGTCTGGAACAAATTCCTTTCATGACAGATAGCCATCAATATTCTGGTCATAAACACATAATAGATTACACATCATGTCATTAATAAGTATTTCATACATATTTCACATCAATGTATATACACCTTTGGCCATCAATCAATGGCAATGAAAAACTGGACTACCGATGGAATTGAATCTAGTCAATTCAAGTAGAACAGGCTGTAACACCTTATTTATCACCTTGTGTATCACGTGAGTTCTCGAAATAAACATTTCGTGACTTCTGATGTCATAGGGTTTACGGAAATAATCGCGATAAAAACTGTTACCTACCATATCAAAACCTTTCTTTGGTTTTCACCTTCCTGATGTTCGTGTCAAAACTGACTTTGATATTCCTGGCTCATTTTCCTGATTGAGGTGTCTATGAAAGGGCAAAATATTGACTTTCTAGAAATGTGATTTTCTCTTTGGAAGTCAGATCTTGTTCGCCAAATGACTTTTTGGTTCCTTTTCTTCAAATTATTTTTAATCACTCATGCGTGAAATATGTATCATATGAGTTGCATTAAATGAAAGAAGAGCGTCCAAGCTTTACAAATATGTGTCATTTATTAATTATAATTGTGATTCAGTTATGATAAAATATCGATAATTCTCGGTTTTGCTTTTTCTTGGACGCACTGTGTATGCTTGTTTTCTTCTGTTGGAAATGGCACTGTTTAAATCAAAACTGTCATATTTAATTATGGCATGCTTATCTCTTCATTTTAATTAAACTTTGTATATAGAAGCTTACGTTGAACCCGAATACTAGGAAATTTATTGACGGGGTTCGATTATTGTTATTGTGTATTCACCTCGTAATTAGACCATGAAGATGTCATTAAAGATTATGTTATAGTATGATCAAGATAAATGAAGCCATTGGCCATTTTAGAATGATATTTTGAATTAAGCAAGTCTTCATGAAGCTAGCCATCGACATGTCTTTAGCCTCTGTCGGCTCCTCCACTCTGAAGTTAGCTATTCATTTTAATTCATTCCCTCACTTATCAGCTTGAGTACCCGTATAATTAAATGTACATACATTTTTGTATATGTTTATAATTTGTATTTCCAAGTATATGCGTGTATTGTTGTTGACTGTTTGTTATAAGTGGAAGTAAACTGGAAGCTGGAAACTTAGATATGTATATAACTATGAAGGAATGTTTGATGAAAAAGTAGTCATTATATTTATAAACTGATAATAGCTAGCTGCGTTATTTGAATTACACACTCATGTAAAAAGATGAAGCTATATAATCATTCAACTGTGTGTTTAATACATGTATAGCTGGAGACCATCACTTGATGACCTTGTAAACATGTTACTCTGTCGTCTTTTAAAGTAGGCCTTATACACAAGGTGTAGTTGATTTTGTTTCCCTATTCTTTGCATCTTTACACATACATATGGGTAGGTTACCATCCCTGTGTTTCTGTGACTCAAGTTCTGAGAAATACATTTTCATAGTGTTAATTGAGAAAGTATACAATCTA